CTGAAACACTTTGTGGTTTGACAGCTGATGTCCCAGAAAGGAGTCCTGGGGCTCTTGGAGACATTATTTCTTCTTTGGAAGAGGAGGAGAGAAGGACGTTTGGGGTTCCTGGAGTCTCTGCATCTTTGGGGACAGGGTCCTCACTGACTGGCTCCAAGGACGCGCAGGGGCGCCCCCTGGTGGTGATGGGCAGCAATAGAACCTGGGACCCCAGACCCACCCAGCAACGTGGAGGTCAGCTGCGTGTTGCCCTGGCCTCTCTTGGCCACTTGATTGGCAGGGTGTCACCGAGGTGCCCTTTCTGAGGTCTTTAGGGAGCGGCTAGCGAGCCACTTTGCTTAGGGGCACTGATGGGAAGTCTTTTCCTTCCTCCCTGTTCTTTCTTTCTTTCTTTCTTTCTTTCTTTCTTTCTTTCTTTCTCTTTTTTTTTTTTAATATCAACAGAATAAACTCAATGGTTGCTTTTTGAATGGAAAAAGAAAAACTTGAGTGCAAGATTAAAAAAAAAAATTAAACTTCTTACATCTACTTTGGCATTTCTCAATCCTGAGACAAAGTGTTACCATTTTCTGGAATAGCCTCAGTGCAAGTCAGCACTTTCCCTTGAGACTTGAATCTCTGTTCTTGTTCTAGGTAAAGGCTCAACAATCCGAGAAGCCGGGCTTCTTCCTCTCCTGCCAAGCACTGGGCCCCAAATTCTCCATTATGCAGAGGTGCGTCCCTGCCTGTGCCTTTCCTCTCAGGCCCTGGAGGCGGTCTTCTCCGAGTGAGTTGGGGCCACTGCTTCCGTATTACTCAGGCTACTTTGGACCCTCTGCACCTCTGCAGGCTGGGCCTCACAGCCCAGGCTCCGTGCGACTTGCCCCCTGCTCCACACCCTTGCAGCCTCAGAGAAGACAGTTTCCTAAACGACCCATACCATTCTGTATCCTGCGAGTTGTAATCTTAGGTTGATCAGTTTACTACAACAAAATGTCATAAGGTAGGAAAACAAGTTGTTTACCACAAACAACAGAAATTTATTTCCCGCAGTGCTGGAGGCTGTGAAGTCTAAGATCCAATCACCCACAGAGATTCAGGGTCATGCAGAGCGGTATCTTGGTCCATAGATGGTACCACCTTACCGTGTCCTCCCTTGGAAGGAGAACCCGCTGAGACCAAGTCCTGAGGGCTCTGCACTTGTGACCTAATCACCCTCGATGGGTCTCATCTCACAACACCGCCATCCTGGGGTTAGAATTTCAAAATGTGATCTTGGGGGGCAGTGAGACCATAGTAATTGTCGTTTTTACTTTTGGTTTGCAGTGTGGTCTGGGAATTGACCCAGGACCTTCAGGCCTTCTCAAGCTAGACAAGTGTTCTGCTACCAACCTACATACCCACAGGCACAAAAGTATCTAACCTGCAGTCCAATTTGTCACTTTCTGCTGTTTGTTTATGCTTTAGGTGTCATAGCTAAGAAGCCATTGCCTAGTCTAAGGTCTTGAAGACTGAAATCTGCGTCTTCTTCTAAGAGTTCTATAGCTTTAGCTTTTGCATAGGGATTTTGATGTACTTTGAATTTATTTTTATATATACTGTGTAGGTAAACTTCAAGTAAACAGTGTGAAGTAACACTTCATTCTTTGCATTTGAATATTTACTTGTCTTGCTGTCATTCTATCATTTATGCCTAACTATTTGGGGGGGATTTAATTTAGCAATACATTTCAATATTAAAAGTACACATTGACCCAGAATTCTTTCTAACTATGAAACACCAATGTGGCTACATTAAAATATATTCGAAATATTAAATGCAACATTTTATTCATTGGAAAATAATAGACCAATATAGTATCATTAATTAACAGATAAATGATATATTCACATAATGGAACATAAAATACCTATTAGATGGAATGAAGTTAAATAATGATACTCAATTTTGTTGAATTAAAAGGTGTTTTGCTTTTTTTTTTTTTTTTTTTTTTT